TAGTTTTGTCCTTATTTATGTGCGTTTCCTTAGTGTATACAGAGGTGACCCAAAATAGCTCAAAATAAAGTCTTACTCCTGTATATTGTGTGTGGGCTGTGGTTGGGGGGCTGGATGTGTGCATGTGTGGGGGGGGTATGTGGGGGATGTGATTGTGTGTCAGAGAGGTGTGGTTGTGGGGAAGGGTGTGTGGGTATGGTGGGGTGTGCATGGGACACAGACATGCATGCAAGTGCGTGCCAGGGTGACAGCCCTCCCCATGCACAGGGAAGGGCAAGGCAGACAGGCCTGCTGAGCCCTAGGGCTGTGGCTGCTGCTGGCAGCGGGTTGTAGCACCTGTGGCCCTGGTTACTGGAGCTTCCACTCTGCCTTCCCCTAGCAACAGGGAACACCTGGGCCCAGGCCTGCCACAGTCCTACTTCCCCCATCGTTGCTATGGAAGCCAATGGGACCCCACAGTAGTGGTGGCAGTGGCTGCAGGGCCCAGGCTGGGGGGTGAGATATACACGAGCTCCTAGGGCTGCCACCTCCAAGCCCGAGGATTAGCGTGGCTTCGCCAAGCAGGGGAGAAGGCATGGCTGCAAAGGAGCTGGTCCAGGTGAGGCTACGTGTGTGCAAGCAAATCAGCAGGTGCGCCCTCTGAGCCAGTCAGCACTCCTCCCTCAAGAGCCCAGAGCTCATGCATCTTGTGGCTCCTCCCCACCACCACTCACAGTGTGCAGCCCCAGCCCCGATCTCAGTCTGGCCTGCACCCACTCTGGACTCACTCTGGCTAGAGCGGACCAGCTGGCACCCATGTGCACAGCTCTGACCCCAGCCTGCCCCACACCGTCCACCCATGCTAAGCAGCAGCCGGGCGTAGATTCATAGATTGTAAGGCCGGAAGGGACCTCAGAAGATCATCAGGTCCAGTCCCCTGCACCAAGCAGGAAAGGTAACTGGGGGTGAGGTAACCCCAGCAAGGTGACTGTCTAGTCTCCTCTTGAAAATTTCCAGGGTAGGTGTTTGCACCACTTCTGGAGGGAGCTTATTGCACAGCCTGGACACTCTGACTGTGAGGAAGTTTTTCCTAATGTTGAGTGTGAATTGATCTTCCAGGAGTTTGTGGCCATTACTCCAGCTTTTCCCTTCCGGTGAACTTCATTTGGTTCCGATCCGCCCAACTTGCTAGCCTGTCTAGGTCCACCTGTATTTGTAGCCTATCTTCAAGTGTGACCATGCTCCCCCATAATTTGGTGTTGCCCGCGAACTTGGCCAGTGAGCTCTTCACCCCCACATCCAAAACATTAATAAAGATGCTGAAAAGTATTGGACTGAGCACTGACCCCTGTGGGACACCACTGCCCACTTCTTGCTAGGATGACACAGATCTGTTCACTACGACTCTCTGGGTCCTATCCTGCAGCCAGTATCTCACCCACCTGACTGTCTTGGAGTTAAGATCACAATCCTCCAATTTTCTTGCAAGGACATTGTGGGATACTAGATCAAAGGCCTTTTGGAAGTCAAGGTATCTGCTTTTTCATGTCCAGGTGGCAAGTTACCTGGTCATAGAAAGAGACGAAGTTGGTAATACAAGACCTACCCGTGACAAAGCCATGCCGGCTGTCATTCAGAATCTCAACTTCTGCAAGCCTATTGCAGATAGGCTCCTTGATGAACTTTTCTAGGATTTTCCCTAGAATGGAAATTAGGCTGATTGGCCTATAGTTACCCAGGTTGTCCCTCCTGCCCCTCTTGTGGATGGGCACAACATTGGCCCTCATCCAGTCCTCAGCAACTTCTCCAGAGTACCACGAATTGTGGAAGAGTTTTGCTAGGGGTTCTGCAATGGCTTCAGCCAGCTACTTCAGTACTCTTGCGTGAAGATCATCTGGCCCTGCTGACTTGTATATATCTACTCTTTTTTTTTTTTTTTTTTTTAGAATTTAGGGTAGAAGCCACTGCTGGCATGAAGGAAAAGTGGCCCTTCCCCCTCACCGCTGCTGGGCAGTTCTTGCTGAAACCTCCCAGAGCCCATGCCCAAGCTGCCCTACAGCTCTGCAGCAGTGCCAGCACTGCCCTGTGGGGTGACCCAGAGGTGGCAGTGACGGCAGCAGAGAGCAACCACAGGGCAGCCCAGGTGTGGGCTCTGGGCAGCTGCAGCAAGAACTGTCTGGCAGCAGTGAGGCGGAGGGGCTGCTTTTCCTCTGCACCAGCAGCAGCTTCTACCCCACTGCTGCCACTGCTGCTGTTGCTTAGCATGGCCAGGTGGTGCAAAGCAGACGTGGGGCGGGCCAGTGTTGCTGGTACCACAGAGCTGAGGTCAATGGTGGTGGCAGCGGAAAGGAGTTGCTGCCACCTGGGTTGCCTAGAGAGGCAGTTCAGTTGCAGAGCCACCCCAGCCCTGCCGCATGCCCAGGGGCGGCAGAACATGTCGTGGGCTGGAGATAATGCTTTGGCCAGGTGGGACCAAGGGACCCACCATGAGCCAGACAAAGACCCTCTGCGGGCCGCATCCAGTCCACAGGCTGCATTTTGCACACCCCTGAACTACTGCGTGACATCTGGTCTGCATTAATGAAATCAGCTGAGATTTAGGTTGAGCTTAATCCAAAGTGATTCTGAAAAAAAATCAGGCCACTAGCTTGAGTACATTTTCCTTTTTTAAATACCAGCTTAAATCTTTAAATGTCTTTATTCCTTCCTACATACATCTTTTCAGCCTTTCTACCTCTGCCTGTTTTTCTGAATTCCCCCCCATTTCTTCTAGTAATGAACTGCCTTAATCTCTGCTGTACTAAAACTTAAGTGTTGTCTCAGTCATGCTTATAGAAGTAGAATGATTTCCTCCCTCCATTTGTCAGGGAATGACTGCATATGTATTTCCAGATCATTTTCCAGCTGCATTTAGTTGATATCCAGCACCAAACCAAAGTCACAGCCTAAAGAGCATTCTTATGTTTTATGCTACCTTCTCTTCCTCTGACCAGTGGTATTTTGCTTGCCTAGAGGAGAGAATCCCAGGGTCTCTTCATAAATTAAGCATCTTCTCCTATGACAAGATATTTAACACCTTCCAGACAGCCAGGTTAGGCCAAACATAGCTGTAGTTCAGCCATCAAAAAAATATGCTAGTGTTAAAATACTTTTCACTAGCCTACACAGGCTCAGACACCTTCCAGTGCCTTACATAATTAGTTAATTCAACTCCAAAAATATACCAGTGAGATAGATTTGAGAGACACAGGTTGATCACATCACTATGGTGAAAATACAGTCAACTTTTCATCTGAAACCAGTCAAAGCAACTCTACACAAGAATTCAGGGTAGGTTACAAAGACTCCTGTAACTAAAGGAACTGGAACATGAAGTGATCTAAGAACCTTAGTTAAAACTTTACAAAGCACTGAGGTTTATATCACCTCTGGGAAATAACTTTACATTCTTAGTGACCAGTGTCACCAATGCTCAGGATGGTTAATACTGTATCCACAAATACCATCTCTAGCAGCTGTCTCTCTTAACACCATGTGCAGGTATTAGTTCAAAGCTAATTGAATTATAGCACCAAATCATTTCCAATTATTTCTACATCTAAAGGACACTGAGGGCATCTCCTTCATTGGAAGAGGCGGGATAGGCATTTGACTAAGATAGTTGAGAAATAGTGCATCCTGCATTAGTGCACAGAGTTGGACTAAATTACTTTGGAAGTTCCTCCATAACCCACAAGTTCACTTGTTCAAGGTTATCCAGATGAAAGGGTTTTTAGATTCTGGCTGCATCCTTAAGATAAACTGGATATACTTCCTTATTTTGGGAGAAGGTGGATTTTGTTTTGTTTTTTTTAAATACAGTCTCTAGGCATTCCAAAACTGCACATATGTTAGAGTGCGACTGCAGGAAAGCACAACCAATAAATCAGATATCATAAAAATCACTGGTGCTGTAATGAAGTTCCTCCGAAATATGGCATCACAGGTGGCAAGAATAAATAGAAAGAAACACCAGGTGATTTATTGACTCAATAACCTTGGCCTGCATTCTGTTTTTGAATAACAAAATGTCTCTGGTTTGGAGGACTACGTACAAATATTGACCAGGAGATGCAGGACAAAAACCTTGCCACTCAAATGATCTATCCTGAGACCTCAAAACCTGACCTATTAGATAAGATGACACAGTCTTAATAGCTTTAAATACCTGGCGATAGAGCAATGCAGTATGTACTGCCTGAGAAAAATGGTTTCCAGAAGACTTATTAAAACAAGGCAAAGATGCAAGTTGTATTTCAATGTTCAAACTCGCAGCAATTCATACATCTGGGAAAAGCAGTTTTGTACATAAATATAAAGAGGTAGTGATGCAAATCAATATAAACAAAAGACACTTGAAGAGAATATGTTTATGCTGTTACTTATGACTTTGGAAGAAGTTTCTTTGTTGTACTGATTAACAGTATAGCAAGCAAGATGTTTTCTGGCAGCCATGCAATTAAGTTATGAATGGCTGCCTACGTACAGACACTGGCTTACTAGAACAGGATTAAAACCATCCTTTAACTTTGTATATGTGTATGTTCAGAAAATATTAGCTTAATCAAGGACCGCAAAATATACTAGGTTTTGCGGTTTCAGAGATTTATTGCTTGCTTCAACTGATCTACATAATATTTCAAGTATTTAAACTACTGGTAAATGCCAAAAAGCTAATTTTTAAAATAACGTTTTTAACAATATCTATTAAATGCATACAATTACAACCGTCTTGAAACTGCAAGCTGATGGACTTACAGTAGGTTTCTTAGCTATGAATAGCTGTGGTTTTGTTTGGCCATTTCTAAGTGTATTTTTCATTTTCTTACTAAGTTTCAGACATGATGTCATTCACAGAGGTTCCTACATTTTGGTGTTGGTGGTTGCCTGGTTGTCACACACTTTGATAAACTTTTGCAGATTTAGGGATGTTGCTGCTTCTATTTTGAAACATTTGCTAAAACACAAGCTCAAATACTCACATAATCAGGAAGCGGAGAGCCATCTGAACTGAGGGAACCTCGCAAGGATTGTGTGGCTTGCTCCAGAACTTTGTTGTGCTTTTTAGACAACAAAGAAAACAAACTGAAAAAAATTGAAGAAAAGAAAAAACGGTTTATTGTAACGACAAGTTACAAATTTAAAATTAGCTAAACTATTCACAGGGAGAACATTTCTTTCAATTAGGAGTTTAAAAAGAAAATACTGAGTGCATTAGTCAGGTGGAGAACAGATTTATTAGATCTTGGAAAAATGAGAGAGAACCTTGAATTATAATATGTCATAAAATAAACTATGGGAAGGGATGTCACATTTTCAGGGTTAAGTACTCAAAAGCCAGGAAATAATACAGTTAAGGCTGCATCTGCAATTTCAATCCTGCTTTCATGTTTAATTATTAAAATACAGTCTTGAAGTTCTTCATCTCATGCTATATATTTATTTTCCATAGCCCCAGATATACATAAGAGCTTGAACATTCTTCATTTCACTCAAAACATGAGTTTAGTTCACAAAAGCTTAGGACAGAAGTCTTCTTTATGGAATGTATTTTGGTAAGTGTATCAGCACTCATACACAATGCATGTTCTTTTTAAGCAGCCCAGACTCTCTTTAGTATAATTCAGGGAATAAAGCATTGACTTACAAAATCTTTGAACATGGAGAGTGCCTGTGTGCATCTTTTTTATTGCTACTTGCACTCTGGGTAGACATGTGAAAAACATAAGTGACTTAGGAATAAAAGTTCCATTCGGAACTGATGGAATTTATGATGGTTTGCTCTTAAAAATGTTACCAATCATTAATCCTTAGCATGCGAGTTAAGTGAAGTGTACTTCCATATAAAGTATTATAAAAGTCCTATCTGATATACAAATAACAGTACATAATATCACAAGGAACTGCACAAATGTATCTAAGTCTCCTAAAGAATGTGATTTGTGACAGTAGCAGCTCCTTCAACAGCAAATTTACTTTATAAGGTGCTTGTAAATGTGCTGTTCTTTAGTTATATAATTGTTCCTTTGTTGACTGTGTTTAATACACCCTTCAGTATTATCCATCTCTGCCTCTTCTCTTCATGCTAATCAAGGGAAGCAATCTAGCTCTGAATGCAAATCCGACACACCTCTAAACATTTTGTTGCCCTTTTCAAGATGTTGTCAGACTCTGCTCCAGTAAATCATTCCCTAGGTGAGATGAGTGAAGTTGAAAACAGTTTATAATAGAGCAGCAAAGTGGCCATATGGCTAGGAATTATGAGTGTGTGCGCGCACAGGATAGCAGTGCATTTTATTCCATCTATTTATAATATCACCATAAAAAATAAGCCAGAAGCAGCACCTAACTCCTACTTTCCCTTCCATCACATTCAATATAAATTTATTCAATCTTTTCTTTTTAAGGCCCTCCATGCTTTAGTCCTACCTTCTCTCATGTCTTGTGTGCTATCAAGACTTCAACTTTCAGCCTTACTTTACCAATAATGCCAGTTCTGAACATATATTTGCCAAAATTTTCTACAAGCAACTTCACACTTTTTTCATGCTATACATTGTATAAGGGATCCCCTTCCCCCCCCCCCCCCCCCCCCC